CCGCCTCTCAACCGAGACGGAGGGGTGGTTGCTTTAGTTGGCAGTACCGTAGTACCAACACCTCAGGCCTTATGCTCCCAAACACTGCTACATAATTCTTTTCGAACTAAGATTTCGTATTTCATTAAAGGTTATCATTTTGGATACTATTACGTTAGATAAAGTTGAATCTACATTGTTTCGGAGGAACACGACGGATGAACATGGGTTTCATCTGCGTTTCATCCGCGTATGAAACGTATGAAGTAAATTCGGCTTAAGTTCGACACGTTACAACATTTTTTTAGCATCGTTAAAATAATATAAATATCATGGACCAAAAACTTGTCAACAGTGCGAAAATTTTAGATATAATAGTACGAAACAAGGCACCCAAATACAATATAATATTTCGCAAAAATTCAATGTTATGGCGTAGTTTCATATATTTATTTACATATTGGCGCTTACAGGGTGAAATTTGTGTGGCATTAACGTGAACGAGAAATTTACACAGCGAAATAAAGCTTAAATCTTTCGTGATAATCCAAATATCTGCAATTAAAGGAGAGAAGACAAGTACAATGACTTACGTGATGACACGTTATTAGCAAAAACTGATATTCTTTACTATCGCTTTATTGATCATAAAATCTATCGTTATTTATTAAAATATTTGGAAATTTAAGAATATTTCTGAGGAATGATAAGTAAGTGAATTATAACTTTCGTAGAAATTTAATTGTATCAGAGCTTTTGTTTTTTTCGAATCAAGCGTAGAAAAACTACATTATATCTTTTTACTGAATCTTTAGATTTGACGATATAATTTTGTGTTTGCATCGTTCGAAAATAAGGTACATCGTACTAAGCTTGAACGCGTTAGATACGAGTGGATAAAATGGTTACGGATCAAGCGTGAATCACACATCGAAATATGTTTTATGGTGTTTATTAAGAAGGTGTTTAATTAGTCCACGTATTATGATAATTATCGAATAAGTAATAGAGGTGGTCGCGGTATTGTCCCGAGGATGACATCAGTGTTTAAGGTATATGAACTGATAACAAGGTTTACGATTTGTATATGAGTCATCCATATGTATAGGGCTAAAGTGCGTGTTATGATTTCTTTTTAATCCGGCTCGTTTTCAACGGAGCGATCTTCGTATAAGAGAGATTTTGATCTTGCTGAGTCTTCGACTACGGTATTCTTGCGTTCATATTATCAATATCGCTAAACGTTATATATCGCTTGCAAAGTGTAAATTTAGCAGTAGGTGGCGTGAAACGACTACTTATACGTACGAAAATTACTAATTTTATCTACTGTGTTCAACTGTGTTATCAGCGGACATAAACGTGCAGAAACACGTTAATACGACCCTGAAAATATCTTATCGGCCGCCATACCGTACATGCCAACTACTATTTTATGACAAACTTAAATGCGCGTGATTCTAGGAAATCAAATACGTCGTCCGTCATAACAAAACGACATTGCGCTTTCCATGGGTAAACATTGATATGCAGAAAAAGCTCGCGTGTACTGTTGGCAGGAAGAACGATTTTCTATGCACGGTTCTCGTTTCGCGTCTTCGTAATAAGTTATTCGTATCAGTCTTATATCACATACTCAGGTCCTTAATGGTGTTACGGACAGGAATTGCCGTGTACAAATTTTTCTTACTTCCCTTATCTATGATAAGCTGCTCTCGAATCGATACATGCGGCGTTATCACGTTTGACATAGACGTTAATCTTAATAAGTTAACGATGACGCAAGGCTTCCCTTCTTTTTTCCCTTCTGTTTTATCTGAAACTGTTGGAGCGCGAACTCCTAAATAAAAAGGTCGAATCGATAAACCGATGTGATTCGGAACAACGGTCAGATCGTCCGTGAGAGTGGACTTTTTCGAAGCCGCGTGTTTTCCCTGCTCAATCCACGTCCACGATATCGAATTGCGATCGGTCGCGTGACCGATACCGTATATCGTTTTGTCCTTCATACGCGAACCGATGACTTTATACTCGAGTGCACATGTTTTTCTACACTGATCGCCAATCGCCGCGCACTTTTTCCTCCGGTTTCTTTTTTCTCGTGCTCGTGAACCGTTCCAACTCATCATATTTCTCGGCGGCGAACTCGAACGAAACAACACGAAGTTTATCTTCGATCTACGGTATCGTGAAAACGGCCTTAACAGGTCCGTCGTGTACGTCTGAAACTCGATTTAACGTGCAGTTTTGTCGAGTGTGACAGACGCGAAGAAAGAAAAAAACGTGGCATGCGTAATAATCGGCATACGACTACGTTAAATTCACGTAAAGCGCGTACGTACGGTCTTACGATTTAAATAAAATTTCCTATGATAATGATTTTACGAACGTGTTAAACATTATGCCGTATTAAGCTTGTTTACGTGGCACGAAAGGCATTGTTATTCCGCCGATCGAGATTACGCGACCATTAAACGATTGTCATCGATCGAAGTACCGTTTTATCACCTGGGTGCTCTTGAACGATAATCTGCCAAACAATAATATCAGTGAATCGACGAGTTACAAGTTATAAGAGTACAGATTTCTGTATGAATCTATTTATAACGTAATCGTACGTGCCAAAGAAACTTGTCCTTACGAACATCCATTAAAAAGATCGTTACTTCGCTGAAAGAGATGGTACTTACGTGGCGTTCTTTTCGAGTTTACTTTGCTCTCGTGCGAGGGGAACTTTTACGCAATTCGCGGTGAACCTGAATATGTAGTCTGTTTGCGTCAATTATTGCCATTGATTTCGAGTCTGCAGTTAAATCGACGTTATTCATCGGATATGAAAGATCTGCATTTCTTTATTTTTTCTTTCATTCGTCTATTGGAAATTCGAGCTAGACTAACGAGCAACCGAATTAATTAATAATTTTAGACAATAATGGTACATCGTATTTATTGCTGTTGCTATAGCATTTTCACCATCTTTCATTAATTTACACTTCATTGTCCTCATTTAATATCACGATTTTAGTATCACATATTTCACCATTGCAATGCATTGTATTGTCACGTTAATTCTGTAAGGAATACATATTACGAAACACACTTACCTTAGATTACTTAACGTGAACCGATTGGATTGTTTGTTTATATAAAGTGAATTTTTGTTTGTGGACGATTACCATCATAATGAATCGATTGCATATGGTGGATGTTGCAACTATGTTGTAAACGTTATTCAAATAAAACTTAGCCACGTATACGTGGAATTTCGAGTGCCAAGAATGAGATTCAAATATTTTTACAAACGTTATAAGCCAGGACGTAAAAAGTTAATTTGCAAAATTTAGTTGAAAAAAAATGGGAAGTTAATGGAAATGTTATGGAAGTAGATATCCATAAAATTATAATCACGCTAATCGTATTCGTGTTTTATATTAACTTTATAGTATAAGATTATTTATTTACTATGCAATTAAAATTAATATCTACATTTTTGTATAACCAAAACTAGTATTAAACGATGCTTCGTTGGCGTCTATTCCCATTACCTGACCACTTACCTTTGTCCTCGAACTTATATACAAATTTTCTACGCAAAAAGCTACAGATAGCCATTTATTTAAGATGCATGTTCTAACTAGCGTATTTAAAAATATTTCACCCAAGCTCTGGCGAATTTTATTTACGTTCTACGCGTGGAGCATTCGATAGCCAAAATGAAAGGTTCTTTCGATCTTGCGAGAATGATCTCACGGAAAAGGAAAAAACGAAAAAAAGCAGAAACGGCCATAAGAAATAAAAGGAGGAAAAGAAAAAGGGTGTCGCCTGGGTAACGGAAAAATTTCACAGCCGCAGCGGATTGCTGGAGGTTCGCATGGCAACGTCCTGGCTCCTCTCGCAGGCAAACAAGATCGTTCGAGAAACGAGAAACGGCTACGCGTAATGCAGCCTTTAAAGAGATTCAGGTCGAAGTTTCTCGCGAAGGTGGGAGATAAGCGCGCCGGTGACCGTATGGTAACGGAATGAACGTGAGGAGGCGTCGGGAGAAAGGCTGCTGATTCTTCGTCGTGATTATGCCTCGTGCATGCTGTTAACGTGTCTCGAACGCCATACAACGGCTCATCTACGTGTACGTGAACGTGCATACAGGTTCGAACACGAGCGATATAACTCGGTGGAAGACACACACACACACGGCCAACTTGGACGCAGCGTCGTGATAACAAGCCACGTTTTTGAACTTTGATACCCTGATGAGTATGACCGGGACCGATAAAGACGTAGGAAGAACGGCCGTGGCGCTTAAAGCAGCAGGAAACGTTGCTAGTTTTTGAAACGTCTAAGCCTCAGCTTCAGGTTGTTTTTCATTTCTCCGATACAAAGGTTCGGAAATTTATCACTTTCGTATAGATTCTTATTTTTACGGTACTGCACGTACGTTTCGCGTCTCGTTAATAGTTTCGTAGGTATGTCATTCGGATAACATAGAGGAATCTCGTTTAGTCGAAATAAGGAGGAGCAGACAGTTCGGATAACTGGTCTGTTCCGATGATAGTAAAGGTTCAGTAAATAACTATTCTCACCAGTTTCTCTTATTACGTACTATCAAATCGTAGAACGTAAGTGTTTGGAATATTAGAACTTAAGTGTTAAGGTGTCCTCAGACAATCGATGATATTGTGATTATTTCAAGGTTTTCAATGGAAATGCGATTTGCGGGTAAATATTGACAATAGACGTTAATTGATAGTTCGAGGGCACCTTTAAGACTTTCTCTTCCTTAACACGTAGAGTTTATTTTGCATAAAAGCTAATGATTATAAACATTAATACACCCATTATAGGAGTAGTATAATCGAAGTGTGTAATTGAAATTACGCTCGATCCTATCTCGGATAGTACAGACTCGGTGTCGGTATTAATTTGCTCGTGCAAATGAGGTGCGTATAAACGAAGTTCTGCTATAATCGATAATCAAACGTATAATATAGCGTAATAATATAGAAATATAGGATAGAGGAATAAATTTCTTTTAAATTCAACAGCGATAGGTCGACGGCATCAATACTTTTAAGTTTCGAGCAAGTTAACGTTAGGAAACAAAGCGGTCCAATGCTTGGCGAGAACTTGATGGGACGATATGCATATAACGCGAGGAACGTCACCGGTATGATCGATGTCGTCGACGTCAAGGGATCTAGAGGGAATTTCATTTTAAAATTCGCTATACGGTTTTCATTTTACCGCGTTAGGATAAGTTTGTCACGTATCTTCAAACAGTTTGTATCTCTCTTGTCGAGCAAGGAACTACGCTTGCGAGTTACATTCGATACGCGCATTATAACGATAGAAGGAACGCTTGAAGTGTATTTGTCGGTTGCTCCTTCATGCTGATTAAAATCAGTGGACGATATCGGTATTTTAACGTACACCATCGGGAACATAGTCCGATCGTTGATCGTAATTTGCTTCTCAAGCCGTATCGATAAAACAATTTTGGACATGTGGTTAAAACTGTTCCGTCAGTCATCGAACCGTTTGACGATACTTGACGGCTCGTCTATTTCGAGCGTACTCTAACGATCAAAAAATAAATCGTTCGCTCCACTACGATTAACGAAGGAATTCCTACAAAGGTATACAACCTACAACTTTTGCATTCGTCGTATCGTCAATTAGTAGGAAATAACGATGCGATTATTAAGGAAAATTTCTCGGAACGCGGTTCGTGAAAAGAGCGCGCGATGATTCTAAATCACTATATACCAAGCTTGAATTCTGTGTGGTAGAAACAGATCCGTGTAGTATTTGCGACCAGTATCGTTCCATCGTTTAATTTAACGCGATCGTCGCGTGTTGCAGAAGTTCGGAGGATCATGGATCCGGCGGGGGTAGTGGCGGAGGAGTCAGCGGAGTGGTCGGCAGTGGCGTCGCCGGTTCCGGCATCGTCAGCGGCAGCGTCGGCAGCGGAGTCAGCGGCGGCGGCG